ACGGCCTCCATATCATTAAGTAATGAGGTCAACTGAAGTTGAATATAACTTTAGTTTCTCCGTAGTGATAACCTTAGTAAGCATATCGGCCAAGTTCTTGCTTTCTTGAATCTTCACAAGTTCCAACATGTCCTCGTCCAACGCTGATCTTATGAAGTGGTAACGGACCTGTATGTGTTTGGTCCTTGCATGAAAAGCTGGGTTCTTCGCCAAATGAATTGCGATCTGGCTATCACAGTATAAGACACTCTTCTCACTTTTCTGTTCTAACTCCTCCAAGATACCCTGTAACCATATCATCTCTTTACTTGCCTTTGACACGGCAACATATTCAGCCTCTATCGTTGATAAAGCGACGATCTTCTGTAACTAAAAAACCCAACTAATAGCTGTAGAGCCCAAAGTGAACATGTATCCTGTAGTGCTCCTTCTCTGGTCTATCTCACCAGCATAGTCTGCATCAACAAAACCCTTCAGAACTAACTTGCCTCTCTTGAAGCATAAACATTCTTCTATTATACCTCGTAGGTATCTCAGAATTTACTTTACTGCTTCCTAGTGCTGCTCTCCTGGATCTGACATGAATCTGCTCACAGCTCCCACTGCATGGGCAATGTCAGGTCTCGTGCATATCATGGCGTACATGAGGCTTTTAATGGCTGAAGCATATAGAACCTTAGCCATGTAGTCTTTCTCTTTATTAGTCTCAGGGCACTGCTCCTTAGTTAATTTGAAATGACTAGCTAACGGTGTGCCAACGGTCTTAGCACCACTCATCCTGAATCTCTCAAGCACCCGCCTAATGTACTCGGTCTGAGATAGCCGTAATGTGCCCAAGAGCTTGTCTCTACTGATCTTCATCCTCAATATCTGCTTCGCTGCGCCTAAATCCTTCATGTCAAACTCACTCGACAACTACTTCTTCAGCTTCTTGATCTCTCTCATGTCTGAACCGGCTACTAGCATGTCGTCGACATATAAAAGTAGGATAATATAACTGTTGTCAAACTCCTTGACGAAGCAACAATGATCAGCATTGCACCTGGAGTACCCGTTCCTGTGCATGAATCCATCAAACTTTTTGTACTATTGCCTTGGAGCTTGTTTCAGACCATACAAGCTCTTCTTCAATCTGCACACCATCTTCTCTTCAACCTTCTGAGTAAACCCCTCTGGCTGCTGCATATATATCTCTTCTTTTAGGTCACCGTGGAGGAGAGATGTATTTACATCTAGCTGCTCGAGATGTAGATCTTCAGCTGCAACAATACTCAGGACTGTTCTGATGGTAGTCAGTTTGACTATAGGAGAGAAGATATATGTGTAGTCAACTCCTTCTCTCTGCTGAAATCCTTTCACCACCAATCTAGCCTTGTATCTCTTGGAACCATCATGTTCCTCCTTAATTCTGTACACCCATTTGTTGCTCAAGGCCTTCTTCCCCGCTGGTAGCTTCACAAGTTCTCATGTCTTATTGGTGTTCAAGGATTTTTTTTCATCTTTCATAGCAAGCTCTCACTTTCTCGCATCATCCACTCGAAGTGCATCATCATAATTTTCTGGCTCTCCACCGTTACTCAGTAGCAGGTAGTTCAGATGAGCTCTGGGCTGTAGTGATGGATACTTCGGATTAGGCTTGGGGACTCTTGCTGACCGTCGCAACTCTCTAACGGGCGAAACAGGCTCTCCATCTTCATTTGCTTCCTCTGAGGTAGTCTCATCCATCAACTCTTCTTCTACTTCTTCTTCATCAGAACTGGCTTCGAGATTGCCTCTATCTGAGGCATCATCTGACTCGAAGTATGTGGGCTCAGACTGCACCGAACTAGTGGACTGAACGACATCACGATCTTTGTAGAAGACTGTTTCATTAAAAACCACATCCCTGCTTCTGATGATTTTCTTGTTCTGCTCATCCCAGAACTTGTAGCCAAACTCATCACCGCCATAGCCAATAAAGAAACATTTCAATGATTTAGGATCAAGCTTGTTTCTTACATGATCACTCAGATGAACATACGAAACACATCCAAATACTCTCAGGTGAGAAAGGTTTACCTGCTTTCCACTCCATACTTCTTCAAGTAATTTGTGCTCTAAAGGCACTGATGGTTCCTGGTTGATCAAGTAGGCAGCTGTGTTGACTGCTTCTGCCCAGAATTATTTTAAAAGTCCTGCTTGTAAACGCATGCTTTTGGCTCTCTCAGTCAATGTTCTGTTCATCCGTTCTGCTATGCCATTCTGCTATGGTGTACCTGGTACCGTCCTCTCCAATCTGATGTCACTGTCATAGCAGAACCTATTGAACTTTGAATCTTCATACTCGCCTCCATTGTTTGAACGAAACTTCTTTATCTTCAAATCGGTTTCGTTCTTTACCATAGCCTTCCACCTCTTGAAAACTTCAAACACTTCTGATTTGTGTTTCATGAAATAGACCCAAGTCTTCCTCGAGTGATCACCTCTTGAAAACTTCAAACACTTCTGATTTGTGTTTCATGAAATAGACCCAAGTCTTCCTCGAGTGATCATCTATGAAGTTGTGTTTCATGAAATAGACCCAAGTCTTCCTCGAGTGATCATCTATGAAGGTCACAAAATATAACATTCTACCAGTGGATTGTACTGATGCTGGACCCCACACATCTGTGTGAACTAGCTCAAGCTTCTTTTCTTTAGGAGTTCTGCCAACCCTTTTGAAGCTTATTCTCTTTTGTTTCTTCTCTTTTGTTTCCTAAGAATACAGTTTTCACATAAGTCAATGTCAGCCGATCTCAAGCCTGGTAACTTCCCATTCGACTACATAACCTTCAGGCCTTTGCTACTCATGTGACCAAGCCTCTGGTGTCACAAATTTGGGTCTTCCTTACTTTCAGCCACTGTAATGGAACCACGTGCATCTATCGTTATGTAAAGGGACACAGTCTTCATTCCACGGGCAACAACCATGGATCCCTTTGTAACCTTCCACGTATCACATGCGAAGGTTGATACATATCCCTCTTTCGCCAATTGTCCTATAGAAATCAGATTCTTCCTCAAACTAGGAACATGTCTCACATCACTCTGCTTTCATGTAGGCCCTTTGAGTTTGATCTGCACGACTCCTTTGCCAACAATATCACAGGGCTGATCATCATCAAGATAGAATTTTCCTAGGTTTCCTGAAACATAGTTCTCAAATAAATCTCTATTTGAGGTAGCATGAAACGAAGCTCCTGAATCCAGCACCAACGACTCAGTCTTGCTCTCCAACGAGCAGATTAGGGAATCATCTAATTCTCCTGAGGTCACGTTCGCTTCAGTCTTGTTCTCCTTGTCCTTCTTGGGTTCTCGGCACTGATTCTCATAGTGGCCAAACTTGCCACAATTCCAACAATCAATCTCCTTCTTGTTCTTGCGATTTCGGGACTTTGACCTTCCGTTTCTCGAGTTAGGTCTTCCTTGGGTATTCCCTCTATTTCTATTTCTGTTTCTACCTCTGCTCTCAAAATTCAACGCCGATCCTGAATTACAAATTCCTTCCTCTTGTCTTCTAATCTCCTCAGTCATAATCATGTCCACCACCTCTGAGAACTTTACTTTTGATTTACCACATGATCCGCTAATTGAAATAACGGTACCCTTCCAACTGTCGGGTAATTGACCAAGTATTAAGAGGGCTTGGATTTCATCATCAAATTGAATATTGACCGATTTTAATTGATCAGTGATCTCATTGAACTCGTTCAGGTGTTCCTTGAATTTCTGGCTCTCAGACATCCTCAAATTAAACAACTTTTTAATGAGATGTACCTTATTCGTCGCAGAGGGCTGCTCCTACATACTGGACAACGCCACCATGAGATCCGCCGTCGTATTCTGATTCTTGATGTTGAACGCTACTGATTTCGACAAGGTCAACCTGATCGCTCCAAGGGCCTTTCGATCCAATAGCTTCCACTCTGCATCCTTCATATCCGCTGGCTTCTCTCCCAATGGTAGGTATAAATTCTTCTGATAGAGGTAATCTTCCATCTGCATCTTTCAGAACCCGAAGTTTGTTCCATCAAACTTCTCAATCTTGGATGTTTCCTTCTCAGATCACATGTTTCTGACCTCAAATCACCTGCGTCAAACCTGGTCGCTCTGATACCACTTGTTGGGGATGCACAATCCCCCTGATGCGATTTGGAAATAGAGATTTGGGAGAGAGAGAGAGAGAGAGAGAGAGAGAGAATCACAATTGCAAACACACAAGATTTACGTGGTTCGCTTCTCAATGTGAGAAACTACGTCCACGACCGCCGCAGGAGAAAATTTCACTATTTTCGTCTCAATTATATCATGCCCTAATCAACCCTTTTATAGATATAAGGGTATTACAAACAGGAATAGGAAACGGATCAAAAACCAAACTGGGCCAAAACCCGACTCGCGGGCGACCGCCGCGCCACGCGCGACTAATCAGAGTCTCTGGAGTTTTGGCGGTCGACCACCGCGTCACCCGCGGTCGACCGCGACGAGCTCCTGGCCAAATGCACCTGCCTGTGCACGTTTGCGGTCGACCGTCGCGCCATGCGCGATCGACCGCGATCCAGTAAAAATGCGTTCTTCATCGTTTTGCTTGAACTTCGTCGTCGTCGATCATGTTTCTCCTGTTTCTTCTTCGATGTGAAATATAGGGTAAGTCTGATAGTTAAACTTTATATATCCTACAAAAAGGGGTTAAGTCTCCTTAACCCATCAATTAACCATTTGTCAAACGGTAGCTAAAGTATTACTTATAGATACCTTATTAATTCGGCTAGACGCTTTAGATTAAAACAGGGAAGTTTCCAATCTTCTGACGACCCCACCACGCTTCACCTACCACACTCCACCAACTCTACAACTTCTCTTTATCTATTTTATATATTTTTTCATCCTTTATTCCTACCCACTTCAGCTTCTATATAAATAAACAAACACACACGCTTTCCTTCCATCATAACAAAAGCTGAAACTAAAG